CAACAACACCCAACAACAACAGCAGCAGCAGCAGCAACAACAACAACAGCAACAGCAACAGCAGCAGCAACCGCAGCAGCAACAACAGCAACACCAGCAACAGCAGCAACAGCAGCAACAGCAGCAACAGCAGCAGCAGCAACAGCAGCAACAGCAACAGCAGCAACAGCAACAGCCGCAACGGCAACAGCAACAGCAGCAGCAACAACAGCAACAGCAGCAACAACAGCAACAGCAACAGCAGCAGCAGCAACAGCAGCAACAGCAGCAACAGCAACAGCACCAGCAGCAGCAGCAGCAGCAGCAGCAGCAGCAGCAGCAGCAACAACAACAACAACAACAACAACAACAACAGCAACAGGAACAGGAACAGGAACAGGAACAGGATCAGCAACAGCAACAGCCACAGCGACAGCGACAGCGACAGCGACAACGACAACGACCACGACCACGACCACGACCACAACCGCAACCACAACCACCACAACCACAACCACCACCACCACCACCACCACCACCACCACAAAAACAACCACAACCACAACCACAACCACAAGAGCAGCAGCAGCAACAACCACAACAACAGCAGCACGGTGAAGGAAACCAACCCAGAAAACCGTGGGGACTTGGAGGCGTTTTCCCTTGTTCCCTATGTGCATCATGTGTGGAACACATGGCTTTCAGCCTTTGGCTGGCTCGCCAAACAAACAAGGCTATGTGCCTTCCTTGGCTCCCAGCTTGCGGTGCGGCGCCCAGTCGGGTTGCCTGCAATTCGGTGCAGGAGCTGGGCTGTTTCCGGCAGGAGCTGGGCTGTTTGTGTTGCCCAAAGTTTACTCACTTCCTGAGTTCCTGGACTTGAGCCACTTTTTGGGTTTGGACCGTTTTGAAGGTAAAAAAAAAGTGTGGGTACGTTTGTTGGGGAGAATGAAATGTTAACTTGCACAAAGTTGAACATGAGACCTGCCACCTGCATTCGGGACGCAAAACAAGATCAGACAAGCGAATAGTCGCTTTGTGTGTAGCGCATGTGTTGGCGCCAGTGTGAATTGCGTTACGTATGAGGCCTCAGGGTCCATTCTGTTTGTTCAAGGGAGACTTAAACGCAGAGCTCTTTTGGGGACATCAACCACTTTGGGGCTTAAGTTTATCTATGCCATGGGGCAATCAAAGATGGAGCCCGCTTGGGCCATTTTTGTGTTCATGAACCGTTGGAACACAAAAGAGGTCCTCGTAACATGGAACTCATGAGGCAAGAGAGCCGCATTTGGCCGCTTGGCTCAGGGGGATTAAACAGCAAGAGCTCAACTCCACATCTCCACTTTGAGTTGCAAAATAAGGTATTTATGAGCACAACTGCATCTCTCTGCGCTTGGTTGAACGCGCGTGCTGAAAGTCCGTCGCTTTCGCAGCTCTTGGATTTGGATGTGAGGGACCTCATGGAGCTTCCCCCGTGCCTGGGCATCGGAAGACGCGGGGGAAGGGGAACCACAATCGGCACTTTGATAGGCCTTAATGTTGGACCCTCTTTACACCCCCCCGTCACAAGGAGTGGAACCAGTCAGCTGGACCCTCATTAGGCAAAATCCTGGAGGTACAGTACTTACTTTAGTACTGCAAATTCTACTTTAGTATTGCCAAGGCTGACTCTCACATTTCCAGTACTTACTTTACTATTGCCAATTCGACTTTAGTATTGCCAAGGCCGACTCTCAGATTCCCAGTACTTACTGTAGTATTGCCAACTCGAGTTTAGTATTGCCAAGGCTGATTCTTACATTCCCAGTATTTACTTTAGCATTGCCAATTCTACTTTAATATTGCCAAGGACCGTTTTTTTTCAGCAACCCCCGAAAAGGTTAGACATTAAAGAGGACCCCAAAACAGTCACATTCAAGGGGCACCCCCCTTTGTGTGACTGGTTGCCCGTACTTTTTTGCAAAGAAGGTATCTTAAACTTGATGGCTTGGGGGCCACTGGCAAAACATTCTTTCTAGATCCAATGCCTTTACCCTTTGGGCTGGGAAGAGCCTGGTTAGGTGAACCACCCAGGCTAAGGCTTGAGTCCAGCAACCCACAAAGACGTTGGACACTAGAGAGGACCCCAAAACAGTCACATTAAAGAGGCTCAGGGCCCCTTGTTGGCAACCAACCCCCTTTGTGTGATTGTTTGCCCGCACTTTTTTGTAAGGAAGTCATCTAAAATTTGATGGTTCGGGGACCACTTCAAAATTCCAGTTTCCCCGGATTTGTTTGCTCGTTTTTTGCTCGACTTCTTTGCCAAGTTTGTTTGGCCCATACTTTTTTCGGAGGCTTAGTCCCAAGATCACGCGAGAAAAACACATTTTTTCCCGGGGAAACAGTTGCTGCAATTGAGGACCCCAAAACAGTCACAAGATCCTGAATTGCGAAGAACAACTGCTATAATAGAGGGTGCTATTAAGAAAGGAGGTGTAACATTAAACCGCTGCTTGTTTTGAACGGCACCCCAAAGGGAACCCCCCTGCGCTACCTAGTGGGAGTCAGATATTGAAAGTCTCAACCAGACAGTGGCGCCTAGAGGTGTTCCCTTCAAAATCAGCCGCCCATAGGTGTCCTTTTGATCAGTAAGTTCGGGACAGAATTAGATGGGTTCTGGCTTTTATATGTCTTTATGCCATCCATTTACCAGACAAACCCAAACCCACGGTTTTTTGTTTTTTTCCGTTTTCTAATTTTCCAGGGAACAACTCATCGATTTGTTTGTCCCCAAGAGGTCGCCCAGGCCACCGCCAAGCGTTTCCGAGGTGAGCCACGTGCTCAAAACTCGGGTAGATGATTAGTAAGGGACACTCCCAGCCATAAATAGCTGCGGATATCCGCCTTCTTAGTTCTTGAAGCATGTTTCTGGGTGCACCATTTTAATTCCAGGTTTTGATTATGACTCAGGTGGCTCCTCAGCCGGGCGCTGTGCCACCTGGACGCCGCCGCGCTCTGCCGGGCGCTGTGCGCTGCCCACAGCTGGCAGGCGGAGGCTGAAACCGCCTGGGCTGCGCTGCTGCTCACGCCGCAGGCTGGACGCGTTGAGGGGAAAACTCGACGTGAACCCATGTTTAAGTGTGTGTCATGGGGACTAGGTACCGCAGGCTGGAAGCTTTGCCCAGGGCAATTGACATGGAACCCGCAAAAAAAAGTGGTTCGCCGAAAGGAGTTTTCTCCTGAACCCCCCCCCCAAAAAGGGCTCACAAGGAATTTCCTCCTGAAACCTGCCTGGAATCCAAACAATAGGTGTCCCCAAAAGGAATTTCCTGCTTTTGAAATACCGGCTGCTTGAGATCCATGGTGATCCCTGATACCTAAAGGGAGCCTTTGAGCTCAAGGGTCGTTTGGTCGCGTGCCCATCGGTTGGTGTTGCTTGGCAGGGATTGAAACGTTTTTGTTTTTCCCCTTTTTTTCTTCTTATTTGTTTCTTCTTTTTTCTTCTTTTTTATTTATGTTTTGTTTATTCCCGAAAGCATCGCGAAGGGTTCTTCCGTGCGGAGCCCTTGGACAAGTTACACAGAGCCAAGTTGCATAGAGCCAAGTTGCACAGAGCCAAGTTACATAGAGCCAAGTTACATAGAGCCAACTTACATAGAGCCAACTTACATAGAGCCAAGTTACATAGAGCCAAGTTACATAGAGCCAAGTTACATAGAGCCAAGTTACATAGAGCCAAGTTACATAGAGCCAAGTTACATAGTTACATAGAGCAAGTGGCACAGAGCCAAGTTACATAGAGCCAAGTTACATCGCGCGCGACCCTCTGCGGAGATTCGCGTGGTCGAGGTTCAAAAACTGAGGACTTTTTACGATTTCTGCGGTGCGCGCGCGACCCTCTGCGGAGATTCGCGTGGTCGAGGTTCAAAAACTGAGGACTTTTTACGATTTCTGCGGTCCGCGCGCGACCCTCTGCGGAGATCGTGCGCTCTCGCTGTGGCGCCGTGCGAATTTCTTGCTCGGCGGAAACGGAGATTGTGGAAGTTGTCTCCTGGTTTGCGCGCCTGCTTTCGCAATCCCGCGGTCGCGGGTTCGATTCCTCCCTGGTCCGCGGCAGCTCCGGCTTGAAAATCGCAGCTTTTAAGTACAAACGTAGTACGCGGAGCGTGCTCCTGCAGCTCCGGCTGGAAAATCGCAATTTTTAAGTACAGACGTAGTATGCGGAGCGTGCTCCCGCAGTACAAACGTAGTACGTAGTACGCGGAGCACACCCCCGCAGCTCCGGCTGGAAAATCGCAACTTTTAAGTACAAAAATAGTACGCGAAGTACATTCCCACAGCTCCGGCAGCACTTGCGCAGAGCAACTTGCGCAGAGTCACTTGCGCAGAGCAACTTGCGCAGAGCAACTTGCACAGAGCAATTGCACAAAGCACTTGCGCAGAGCAACTTGCACAGACCAACTTGCACAGAGCACATGCGCAAAGCGCTTGCACGGAGCAACTGGCGCAGAGCCCTTGCGCAGAGCAACTTGCTCAGAGCACTTGCGCAGAGCAACTTGCACAGAGCAGGCAGAGCAACTTGCACAGAGCACAGCGGCACATGCGCAAAGCGCTTGCGCGGAGCAACTGGCGCAGAGCACTTGCGCAGAGCAACTTGCTTTGCGCAGAGCAACTTGCACAGAGCACTTGCGTGCAGCAGCTTGCAGAGAGCAACTTGCGCGCAGCAGCCTGGAACAATGCAGCTTGCGCAGACCACTTTCGTGAGAAATCGCGCGGCGCAGTTCGAGAGGAAAGTAGGATGATGAGATGGAGCTCTCATGTGACCATACACACTGAGCATGCCGCAGACACGCTCGCCGCAGCGATGTAAAAAGGTGTCTCCGCGGCTGGATGAGCACCTGTGGAAAAATGCTTTCGGGCCAATTGTCCTCTAGTTTTTTTCTCGGTGGATGCCAACTGGATATCAATTCCACCATGGAATTTGTGGCTTGGTTTGCTTGAAACATAGCGCGGTGCACTCATGTTGCGACCAACAAACATGTGTGATGGCGCATGTGTGTCGCCTGTCTTAGGGGGATGGGGCCTCCTTGAACCTTACCGCTTGGCATGACTTCGATGGCAAAGGCCAGTTTCAGGAATTGAGAAGGGCCCCAAAATTGAATGGAGTGTGTTGAAGCAAAACTAAGTCATGATCATAGGACCAACATGTTAATCATGTTTTTGCCCCTCACATGACGGGGTCCCCTCAAACGCATAACTGGAGACGGTCCCTTGCTGTACCGAAAAGTTGGTCCTGGGGTTGCCGAAACTCTGAGAACTGGAAGGCTTCAACGCTAGCCCAGACATTTACACAGCAACTTTACATTGTGTCGCTCTTTTTGTTCTCCGAGTATTTGGCCTAGTGATGGGTTTTCACTTACAGGGCCTCCAGAGCCCAGCTATTGAGTGGCACCCGCAAATATATATATATATATATATGTGTGTACACATATAAATATATATATATGTATGTATATATATATATATATATGTACATTATGTTTTTCTTTGGTGGCTTCCCTGGAAACGGACTCAATCCCACGGATTCCACGTCTTTTTCTAGGGTCCACCGCAAAGCCGTGAGGTCTGCGGCCGCTTCCACTGCGCCTTCACCGCCCCCGGCCTCGACGCGGCGCCGCCGCGGCTTCTTCGCGGCGCCGGCGGCTGGGAGGGCTGCGCGCTGCGGCGGCTGGTGGCGGAGTTCTCGCTGGGGCGACCCGACTCGGGGAGAACGGGGAGAACGGGGGGGGCGGGCGGGTGCTGAAAGGGACAGGGTGTCGGGTGGTTCAGCAACCAGGTCCTGTGTTAGGCAGCTGCCTTTGTCAGATCTCTGTCAAACAGCGCATTGTTGGTGCATGCCTGCTAGGCTGTGCGCAGAGCAAGTCCTGGCCCCACTCAGTCAAAGCGACGTTTGGGGTCACTCATTGTGTCGTCTCTTCGTGTGTATGTGGCTGGATCTTTGAACTTCATTTTATTGTTTGAAACAGTTCGGATTTCCCGAATTGGATCCACACAACGCGAAACTCACATTTTGCAGAGGCGTCGTTGCAGCCACCTTTTTCTTGGTGCGCTGCCTAGGGGCCTGGCGCACTTCGTGCGGTGCTGCCACAACGGGGTGGAGGCAGAGGTCCTGCGTGCCACGAACCACTCGAAGCACCTGGCGCTGGAGGTGCTGAACTTCTTCCCGCAGCCGGCGGGTCCCCCAGCTAGGTGCCCTTTCTCACCTTTTTTTTTGGTTGGGAGGGTTCCCCTACTAAAATAGACTACAGAAAAAAAAGGGGTGGCCTTATTCTAACCTCTCTACTGGAGGACCTAGTTAAGGTGTCTCTTTCATTGAGGGTACCCTTTTTATTGTGGGTTTTCAAAGGAGACCAAAAGGAACACCACGCCCATGCGTTGGTTCGAAAACAAACGTGGTTTTGATGAGCAAGTTTGACAGAGGCTGAAACATGTAATGAACAACTTGATTTTCGCATTGGAATGCATCATTGTCATTCGCATTGGTGGTCTTAGAGTCTTCTCTGCCGGCCGTTCATGCAGGGCGGCAATCTAAAAAGGGCAGAGCACTTTGTAATTTGGTCGTAACCATGGCTTTCACCCACCTGCCATGGTTGTAAGCAACCCCAACCAGCTCACAACCATGGTCACTAACAAGTTGAATTATTCAGCCCTCTAAATTATTGTTTCTCGATCTACCCCACCCCCTCTAGGTGTTTTTTGTTTTTTTTTGTTTTTTCTCAAGCTACCCGAGGTGTGGGTGGCGATCAGCGCAGAGCCGCTGACGCAAAGCTCAACGGCCACGCTGCGGGTGCAAACCTTTGCCCACAGCACCAGCTGCCTCGAAGCGCCAGCTGCATCGCGGGCAGGGTGCCGCGGCTGCATAAACGCGGCCACTGTCTGCAGATGCCACCTGTGTCTATCAACCCAATGTTTGTTTCTGATGTGCTCATGGATGTATACAATCATGAATATGTTTTGTTTTTTGCTGGTTGCATGGCATAGTTCATGCTGGTTGCAAGAGATGAACTATACGGTTGTCTTTCAGATGTCACTTTGTCGTCAATCCTTGGAACTGGCAGTCTGTTGCCCAGCTCCCACAGATCACGCATCCCCAAAGGCATGGACTGGTGTTTGTCTTGTTGAACAACCATCAATTCTCACTTTTCTTGGTGAAGATGTGTTTTTCGGCTTTCCTCCTTTTCCTCGTCCGAGGGTGATTTGATGCATGGTTGCTTTCAGTTAGGGACAAGCATGGTGCAGGTTGAGATGTTGGTCACATGTTGACAAGCCGAGGTCAGTGGTGCTTTGCTCCCTGACCTCTGATCATATTGCGGACCTCCTGTATTGCCCCGCCTTCAGCCGGACCGAGATCGGGGAGCACGTCTTGCGGCTGCATCAACCTGGGGACTTTCTTCACTTCCTTTTTGCTTCGTCCCTCTCAGCCAGGGCCTCGGAGTTGTTGGGATGACGCACTGAGCGCAAGAACCCGAAGAAGTACAGAGTTTCATGCCCAGACCACTAAACTGAGCGAAGATGAGAACTCTCAGCCAGTAGCGGATCGGATCGTGAGGGTTTACCCAGTGGCAACAGTGGCACCCTGTGTTCCCTTTTTTTGTTGGACGGGTTCCCCTTAAAAACTCAACCCACCCAAAAAAATCGGATACCTTTTCTTCCCATGAAAATCCACTCGGCATCTGAGTCCTCGCAGCGATGCGAGGTGGGTACTTCTGCTGTGGAAGGTCTCGCGGACTTGCAGTGCCGCAGCGAGGTGGGCAACGAGGCGCGAGCTCCGAAGTCTCGCCAGCGAAACGCGGAGACTGCTTGGTTTAAGATAGTTCAAGGAGAATGGAAATGCCTCCTGGCATAAAAAGAGAATGGGAAGTACAGATGAGATTCAAGATGGACATGCATTAGGCTGGAAGCAATCCGCCATTCCTCATCTTTGCCACGGCGTTTGTTTTCCTTGAGATTCATTCACTCTGGTCAGTTAGGTCGGAGGAGCCGACGTAGCCTTCTTGGACTTCAGTTGGTGTTTGGATTCGCGGGCAAAATGCTGGGGCACACCCTCTTTGCTTCTGGTCATTGATTTGACCTAAGCATGTTGGCTGACATGATCTCAAGTCAGGCTTTAAGGGGCCATTCGGTGTCCCGCTGCTCAGCTGCAGGTTCTGATTCCAACCACCCGAAGCAGCCACTACCCCATGGGCTCTTGGCAGCGGGAGCAACGGGGGCTGCCTGAGTCAGGTGATGACATCTATTTGGATGACGGCCCAGGCGAGAAAATTTGCATCCTTTGTTCTTATGTGTTTTTGTCGTCAGGCTGTTGGTTGTTCTTTGTGGTGATTGTGCTCATGCTGTTTTTTTTGTTTTTGTGGGGAGGGGGGGTGGGCATCCTTAGGCTTGTTTCCCTTGATTTCACAAGAGGGTCCCCAGTTTGTGAAGGCCCCCATGTTCTGCGCGCGCCATGGAGCCTTGGGGACTGATTTGTGGGCTTGACAGGCGGACTGGCCTTGCGCAACGTGGAATCGCCTCAGGCAGGCGATGTGATGGAAAAAGCAGGAAGGTGAAGGTTGATTAGGTGCTAAGGTTTGTTTTCCAGTTTCCCTGGTCGTGATGTCTAAGTTAGAGGGAGCTGGTGACTTGGGCGATCATGGAAATCAGCTGAAGTTACTCCTTGGCTTTTGCATCTGAGAGGCGATGGTCTTCGAGTTTCAGGAGGTGCTCTTCCACGGGAAGATTGCTTTGTGACACATCTCAGCTTCACGCTGGCGGAGGCTGTGTCGGCAGCAGGCTTGAGCTCAAGCTGCGATGCGTATGCGAATGTCTGGAGACGATGGTGCGCATAGTCCAAGAGGCCAGCCATGTACCTGGGGCATCCCAGTACAGTTGTCGTATTGGGAAAAAGTGGCATCCAAATATCCACTCGGCGCGGAGAAATCAGGAAGAACGAAGCTTACAGCGTAGGACTCACCATGGGGCCGAGAAGGAGTCAGATCTCTTCGAGCATTCCGCGGAGTTTGCAAACCAAGACTTGGAGGTGAAAGTGAAGTACGCTTCGCAAGAAAGTATCGGTACTCTGCCAGAGAAGTAGGCCTTCTTGAGGTGTCTCAAGCTTGATTCTCGGCTGGGAGGACACCCGACCGGGAAAAAGAAGAGTGATGGCAGCAGCTTTGGTGTTTGTGGTGCTGGGCAATCCAGTCATGCGACATGGTGATGCGCCGGAGTTTGCGTTTCAAAGGAGGAGCGTGCTTAGAGGCTTCACCCTCTACAGCCTGCAAGCCCAATTTTGGGACAACAGAACTGTCTCGGCATAGGGACACACGGGAAGGCTGTCATGTTGACCCCGGAGTACACAACTTGACCTATCCATGTTTGCCCAAAAGTGATTCTGATCCCCTCTATGAGTTGCACCCCTATGCACCCACCAAGGGCTTGCTGGGCTGTTCAAAATGTAACCATAATCCAAATGCCAGATGGTAGTGTCCCTTGTGTGCCCCATGGCTGCTCCCCCATTTTGAGACCAGGTTCTTAGTTTGTCACCGCACCGAGGCCCAGCCTCACCAAGGAAGCAGCACCGGTGCCAGATGCTGCGAAGACTTCCAAGGCGCGTGACCTAGTGGCAGAGAGCGGAGCCGTCCCGGAGGGGGCATCCAACTTTGCCTCTAACAGGGCGCGGTGTTCCGGAGCTACCAGGAGATCTGGTTTGGGACACGGTAGCCTTGGCTTAAATGATGTCGGGGGTGAAGTGTTATGAGAGCAGAAGGGCTTGAGGTAATGGGCCGCTCTGCTGAAGTGAGCTCAGCAAATGTGCAGCTCCACGCTTGCATGTCCTCAGGAGATGTTCAATCGGGCCATGCAACACCACAATTTCAGGAAATAACTTGACAACAAAGCAACCATTTTCAGGATCATTCACAATCAACATCAATTAAGGTCTTTCAGGACCATCAACAAACAATTAAGGTACGGCAATAATCATTAGCCACACGTGGAATTTCTGGATCATTAGCCAAGCAAATGGTATTTCAGGCGCATAACCAAAACATCAGGTATTCAGGATCATGTTTGTTTGAGGTATTCCGGTATTCCATCATTAACCTAGAGGGTTCAAGTACCTCCTGAGGATGGCTCTTGGGGGGTGAAAGGGGTCGTTCAGTACCTCCTTAGGTATCAAGGGACCCTCTGGGTAAAAGACATGCTTGTTTGATCCTATGTTTTCTGGGTATCCTCCCCTAACATCTGGACGCGCCGTAGGTGAGCGCAGCTCCTCCGGCGCCGGTCCAGCGTAGGGCCAGGACGCCGGAGGCCCAAAGGAGGTGTTTGGGCTCAGAGAGGCTGAGGCGTGTGGCACCGCGTGGGTGACTCCTCGTCTTGTTTTGAGGGATTTGGACCCCTCAAAATGGTTGGTTTTGCATGTGGGTGGCCCTTTTATTAGTCAACGAAAAGGAGCACCAGCTCCAAAAACGGACGGGACCCCCCAAATGGCGCAAGGGGCATCCTTTTGGTCTCCCTTTAAAACTTACCAACAAGAAGGGTACCAACTCCAAAAAGGGCAGTAATGTTAAGTTTCAGCTTTGGATATGCCATGAAAACACCAATCTGACGTTCTGGGAAAAAGCTGCAAGGCTTTTCTCATCGGTGCAGGACTCTGGTTTGAGTTTCCATTGTCGGTCTTGCGCAAGGTCTGGGTGAAGGTATAGGACGAAGCGTTCAAGCAACTGAGATGTTTCCGGCTTTGTGTGGGGTTTCTCCAATTAGGGGGCCACTCAAATGGCTGATTTTGGTTGATTTCTTGTTGGTCCCCCATGTTACCCTTCTTCAAGGCCATCTTGGTGTTCTTAGTTTGAGACAATGTTTAGGATGTGCATGTCTAATGTTTGTTGGAAGCCGATCGAGCCGTGTTTGCGTTGCCTGGATCGCAAGCTCACTTCAAATCGCGGAAGGCGGCCACACTGTTGCCAGGGTCAGGCTGAAAACCTGGCTGGAAAAACAATTTTCGAGTTATTTATGGAATCGTTAAAGGTATGAACATGATAGCACCTTTTCGGATTGCCACCACCGAGCGGGATTTTTCACTAGAGCACTGGGGCCTCACTCCTAACAGCGCCATAAGAAATCAGCGTGGCCCAAATTGGTGGTTTTCCTTTGGGGTCTCCCTTGAAACCCCACCAAAACAGGGGGTACCAACTCCAAGACGACCCCCTCTCTTGGTATCCGTGTCTCAGCTGAGGCCGGGGAGGCTGGCGGCGGCCTTCCTGCCGTATGCGGCCGGGGCCGATGAGACAGACGTTTTTTTTTTTTTTTTTTTTTTTTTTTTTTTTTTTTTTTTTTTTTTTTTTTTTTTTTTTTTTTTCCGGAGGTCCCATGGGCAGACTGAAGATTCTTGGTGCCCAGATAGCTCGACTTAGGTGTTTTCTTGTTCCGTGAGTTTAGCTAATTTAGTGGTAGTTCTACTTGACCCACTAAAAGTGTTTGACTTTTGGCAGGGGATCTGGGATGAATATTGGCAGTTCCGCAGATACTTTGTGTAACGGCAGACTGGTTGTCGGATAGATGTCGGTATGTTGAGGCGAGCGAGGTGTCCTCCCTTCAGAGCGGCTGGAGGCTGGCAACAGCAAGTGGCGCAGTCTCAAACGCGGGCGCTGCCAGCAGTGAGAGCCTACCTGGAAGAAGCCAAATGAAGCCAAGCAAAGTGAAAGGTGGATATCATGAATGGATGTAGGGGCATTGTTATAAGGAGTTGTCGGAGCTGTGACATGCCTGGACAAACAATCGCCGCCCCAACTCATGGCCTCTGGCATCAAAAACCCGAAAGTTCCCCGACTCCTTTGCTGCCAGAGTTCGTGAGGCAAGACTATTGGAAGGAGCCAAGCCCGCTCTTCACTCAGGGGCTCATCTCCCAGGACGAATCAAATTTCGCATCTCGCCGAGTGCTTCGCGAACGCATTTCGCATGCACTTGAGCCACTTGCTCCTTTTCTGCGGGTAGTTGAAGGTTAGAAAGGCACAGTCCCTTGCCACAAACGTGTGCGAATATCCGCCTTGTTAATTCTCGAAGCATGGTGGGTATGGACCATTGGAATGCCGGGTGTTGATTGTGGCTCACTTGAAAGGACATCAGATACGCAACCGAGTGCTCACAGTGCAAGTGCGCCAGAGCCTCAAGATGCGCAACCCGGCCGTTGACCTTTTTTTGTAGCCAGCAGTTCCGTCTCACAGCGGTGGTGGGCCGGTTGTGATGTTCCCTGTTTGGTGGTAAACATCACCTTGGCCCATGAAGAGTGAGTATCTCTTGGGTGATGTTTCTATTTGGGAAAGATGGGTTGCCCTGTCTCATGGCAGATATCTTCTTTGAACAGGCAAGGAAGGTTGATGAGTCCCCAAAAAAAAAGAAAAGAAAGAGGCAAATCGATAGGTCCCACCCGTCAAGGCTCTGCGACTCCTGCACAAGCTGCTTCGATCCAAGATCGGGGTATCATAAGAGAGGTTGCAACTTGAGTCAGAATTCTTTGGACTGTTTCCCTGTGCACAAAAGCCATTTAGACTAGGTCCCCCAGTAGTACCCTTTTACCAACTTTTGTGGGGGAGGTTTCCCCTACTAAAATAGACTGCAGAAAAAAAGGGGGGGGGGGAAAACGGGTACCCTCATTTTCTCACCTCTGAAAACCGGAGGACCTCGGCTGTTTCCCTTTGAACCAAAAAACAATTAACCAGGAGGGGCAAACCGCAATTGTTGGTCCATGTTTCCACTTACCAGGGCAACCTTTTTTGAACCAAAAAACATTCAGCGAAATGGGTGCCTCTCAGGTCATCAAGGAGGCAGCTTTGCCGCCTTCCGGGCACGTCAGTGCGGAGGAGATCTCCGATTCCTCATATCGCCCATGGCCCGGGAAGTCTTGACCATGACCTTCCATTTGGTGAAATGAATATGTTGTTCTTCCTGCTGGTTTCGATTTCACTACTGGACTTTTTGTTTCCAGGGACTTAAGCAAATGGAGATGGCGCGTGTTGTGCGCGTGTGTTGGTTGGAAGCTATTGCTGGTGCGATAGGTAGGGAATGAGAATTGGAATGAACCCCGGGGTCCTGAAAGGAAACCACAAGGGATGTTTTATACGGGTCATTCCCTCACTGCCTACTGTGGTGGAGCGCAATTGATCTTGGTATCTGATTGAGCTGCATCTAACATGGGAGCTCAAATTTGTCGCCACAATCTTCCATTGCTCACACCAGGTTCTTCCAACGTGTTTCAGCCAAACGCCTCTCGCGCAGGAGCTTCATCAGGAGCATTGCCTGCGCTGGTTGGACTCCCTCATAGAAAAAGAAAAGGAGGCTGGAAACTGTCGATCAGAATGGAGATCCAGTTGACAAATGAATAGGGGGGTGACTAAGTAGCTGATCAGAATCTGTTCCAACGCGAACCTGAAACAGGGGAAGCCTTTTAGGAAGCGTGTTTGAATTGGCCGAGCCGGCGCTGGCACCAGCCGGGCAATTCGACCACCAGCGCGGAAACTGACAGGGGGGTTCGTGGGTGAACCACGGAGGAAACGCGATCCAGAATTTTTGTCCTAGCGCTTTTTAACCTTATCTTGCAATGCCACTCTCCGGCTTAGTGAGATGTATGTGCGCGTCTCGGATCGATCCACTCAGAATCCTCCTTAAACCAGTGAAATCACGTATGAACAGACCTGTCAGAAATGAAATCTCGCAAACACTCAGAAACAAGGCTCAAGTGGTTTCGACCTCTCTCAGCTGGCTGGCCATGTCATGTCGGCTGTGGGTCAAAACCCCGTACCCCTGGTGAACATCAAAATAGGTGGTACATGGGTGTTCATCCGCCCCAAACTGGCGGCATAGGTTATGACCCATGGCCATGTCTCCTGGCAGCCAGGGGATTCCGACCGCGAGCCTTCGCCTCGGCCCGTCAGGGCTTGAAGTGGCCGCGCTACTCCAAGTCAGAGGCCTGAGATCTTTGCAAATTCCAAGGCCCGAAGCAGCTGACAGGCGGTCTTAGCATGGTGACATTTTCCACGCGGTCACTTGGGTACAAATTCCCCTTGGCGGTCTTTGCTTTCTCTTTTTTTTGGCGTCTGCGGGCTTGCTAGGGAGGAGACTCCATCAGAACTTTGGACGCCAAATTGGGAAGGGATGTTCGGACTTGCACTTTTCGCCAACGAAGGGGTTTTCCTAAAATTGTTAAGCTTTTAGCGGGGGAGCAGAAAGCAACCGGGATTGATTCAGGTTGCCCAACCGAGAGGTCTCCGAGGAACAAGCTGTGGGGGTTCGTACAAGGGTTCATGCAAACTAGTAGTTGCGTGGGCTGCTTGTTTTCTTGGCTGAGTGGTGGGAGCCTCACTCAAGCTGGATCCCATGAAGTTCGTATGTGTCTATAACTGTACCTTCCAGCAAGAAAAATGGTCAAGGATTCGTCGTGTCCTGGAGCCACTCTTGTAGATTGGTAGATGGCTCAAGACAGTTTGTGTCACGGGAAGGAAGGATACATTGTCAAACTCATTTGTAGCCTCCCGACTGTGTTGTTCGGATACCCGCAGATCAACGAGCGGAACTACCCGCAGAAGGTCTTCAACCAACACCCCTGGTCCCACAAATGGCTGCCAGTGCCGGCCCTAGGATGACAGGGAGACCTACTGACCTGTGCAAGGGTCAAGCTGATCCTCTTGTATTTCTGCCTGGTCAAATCACTGTTGTTGGGAATGATAGGCACGGTCATCAACCCCTCAATAGGCATTTTAGTAAGGATTCTTTACCAAGGGAACCTTGACGATGGCCCACAGATTCGGAGTTTGGGCCCTGCCACATGGGTTCTCTTGTCGCAGAATGCTGCTTGAAACCTGCTGCCCTAGGGATCGCACAGCTCTCCGAAGGTGCCGGGCTGGGAACTTGTGCTTCTTGATTTGTTCGCCGGACCAGCGGGCTGCAAAGCTGCGTTGAGAATGGCGTATGGGAAGCCCGAGTGCAGCTGTTTCATCGCTGGAGAGAAGTGAACTTGGTAGCGATGCGATGGCTTTCTTGCCAATGGCAGGTGTAGAGCTCACTGAGGGGTCCGGGCTAGGGTTCTGATTATTCTGGTGCCTTTGGGTGAAGTTCGCCCTACATGTGGTATCTCATCTTTGCACCGAGTCACGTGGCCGTTCGCTAAGCGACCCCATTCAGCTGTGACATGCTGCATCGGATCCAAAGAACAAGAGAGCGCCTGGAGATTCAATCACCCAGAAATTTCTGGGCGTTTTGGGTAATGGGTACGAGTGGAGAAAGACTGGCCGTTCTAGTGCGAAACGCTGGAAAACTAGTACGAAGGCTGGCGTTTACAATTGAGGCAACAAAATCTGACAGCGTATCAATAGTGTCCTTTTACAGTGCTTGCATGTCCCTTTGCAAGCATGACCCTGCATCGGTCCCAAATCAGGCATGCTTTTGAGCGGGGGCAGTGCATGCAAACAGACCCAATTGACTCACTTTTTCGGATTTGCGCTCGTTTGCGGGTTTTTGCGGCCGTTTTGCGGGTTTGTGCGCTCGTTTTGCAGCCAAAAGTGGTACGAACAAAGAGCAGCTCTCCCGCAAAACATGTTAAGCGTGAACTTGCCCCGATTTGCGCACCACTCCCCCGCACATCCAGGGTTGAAGGGCTTTGATGGAGGGAAGGGTTTGAAGGCTTGTCGAGTTCAAAAATTGCAGAAAAATCGAGAAAAAAAAACGGCTTGGTGGGCAAGAGAAAGCTCTGTGCAACAAGGAAACACCCAACACTTCCAATTTCTAGGCGTCTTAGTCTAGTCGTTTTGCGGTAAAAGTGGTACGAAACGACGGCAAAAGCAGTACAATGACCAAAACACCCATTGTTTCTAGTCGTTTGAAGCTGCAGGCGGATAGCAAGCATTTGCTGAGGGACCTTGAGGAGAGCTCCGTGCCTGTGAGTCTTTGAGCGGGCGTCGAGTCTGGCTCATCGGGCAGGCAATGAGCCCAAAGCCATGAGGAAGCAGCACAGGAACAGTCGAATCAGCATAGTGCAGAATCAGAACATGGAACCAATGTAAAAAGTGGACTTGCAGCTCCTTTCAGAAGTTGCACGTCTCATGCTAACTTGACTAGTAGTAGAAAAGTTGTTTCTTAGATTCTTGTCCCAAAGTTTGTCAACTGGCTGAAAATAGATTTGGTTCCGTTTCTCTGAATCGGTCCGAATTGTTGAATGCTCAATCAACAGACCTTGTGCGCTTGCAGCAAACGGATCCTTCGGGTCTCGCCATGAGCCATCGAGATGCGGGTGCTCACATTGCACCGCCCACAGTCTTTGCACGCCTGAGGCAAATTTGCACATGTCAAGCCACGTGTCAAGTCTAGGCCCTTGTGAACAGTTTATTTTGGGATCCTTTGGGGTTCCTTTGAAACATTTCGTGGCGGGTGCGAAATTGAGGCAACAACCCAACATGTGCATGGATCAAAGAAAATGCCACCACGGGACCGCAGGTCTTATTCCTTGTTTGCATTTTTACCCGCGGTCCCTGTTGGGTGCCTATTTGACCCACGCCCATCTGGAATTGCCATCCTGCGTGTTTTAGAAATGACGCTGCTCCGCCATGTTGGGTGCCATGAGAGAGTGCAATATATGATCTACGGACTATAGATGTCCCTGTGGGGGTCAGTTCGGTTGAAAGTTGGTTCTAATCATTGTCCAGTGCCACTGATTTGTTCAACAAAACACCTAGGAAGTAGGTGTGGCTCAAAATTAAAGAGCCAGGGCAAACCGCAGGTTTCAGTCCCTTGATTCCATGTACCTGTTGGCGCCATTTTGGAATTCGTGTTTTTGAGCCATTGCCAAGTAACCATCTCGCTTGCCCTTTTGCACACCTGAGATGGCAATGCGGAAACGAGGCTCTTGCTCGGCTTCCTGAGCGAGGATGGATGCGTTCTGCACATGCGTCTGGCTGCGCATTTGGTTTCTCCCGGGCCCAAAAAACCACTCCAATGGGAAGATGTGGCCCATGTGGCTACGAGGTGAAAAGGGTTCAGGAAGTCAGGAGTCAAGTGCGCTGAGGGGACAAGGGCACCTCCTGTTCCATTTTACGGCCCTTCTCATGCATGATACGTGCGGAACTTGTTCCGTCTCTAGACTCTGGACTTTAGTCAGTTTTAGGGAAGCCTATTTTTGTGGTAAATAAACAGCTCCAGGACGTTTTTTGGACCATCCACTCAGGCTGCGCAGGTGTTCGTCCTTCCTGGAGATTCATTAAACTTGCTTTTTCATGTGATTTTCGTGAAGTCGCCTAAAGCTACTTCAACTCCCATATTTTGTTGATTCTGCGAGATTTCAGGGTTGGTCCCGGCCCAGAATTACCCGTAAAACGCCCGCAACAGGCCCGCAAACGCCAGCAAACCCCCGCAAACGCCCGCACACCAGAAAAGACGCTTTTGGGATTCGGGGGTCGCCCAAAACTCCTAGAAATCATTTCGAACGCCCAACACCCGAAAACCAATCCGCCTACGAAAAGGTCGGAGAATGAATCTCCAGGTTTCAATTTCCCAAGAGGCCATTTTGGGAACCATTTGTTGAGCCACAGCCACTTGTTCCGTTGGATCTTCAGCTTCCGTCCGAGCAAGGCAGCGGATCCCTGCGCCCCTGCAGAGTGGGATCAGGCGCTTGAAAGCAATGGGCACGGTGAAAGAAGAGCCACAAATGCTGCTGTATACTTCCAGGATACAAAAGTTGGCAGAAAAATGGAAGGGCCAAACGTTTTTCTGTTGAAGGTGAGGTTGAAGTTGGGGTCTTCATAAGACTTCAATCTTGCTGGTGCTTGCTACATTGAAATCGCTACGCGATCCGCCAACGCCAGTGGAAAACAAGGGATTTTAAGATCTTTTTCTTTTTCGTGGAAGTCTGAAAGTGCCACAACAAGGCCTTCTTGGCACTTTCCTATTTTTCAGTCAGGAAACATGTCCCAGATGCTGGGGATGCTGGAAATGCAAGGGATGCAACCACACAATACATTCCAGACCCAGTCTCCAGGTCCTTCCAAGCCTTCCCAAGTCCTTCCAAAAATAGACTTCCAAAAACGCGATAATGCAGGGGATGTTTCGCAGTAACTGCTCCGTACAGGTGGGGAATTGCAAAAAACACTCACTTTTGCAAGTTCAAACAGTTCCTCAACGTATCACTGCACTTGGCCCCACCCAGACCCCTAACAGGCCGATTCCATTATCGCTAGAAACAGCAAAACACCATTAGTATCTGCAAACAAAAGAGACAAATTCATAGCAGCAAGGTAACCCTGGAAATGCAGAGCCTGCGCGTCCGGGAGAACCCCTCCCCCCCCTAAGAGACCTAGGCGAAACGCAGGTTTTTAGCAGGCAAGCCCCAAAAACACTTGAAAATGACAGGGTTTTGGACACCCAGCACACCATGCCAAAAAAAAATGGCAGCCAAAAGCCTTCGGCTTTGATAAGAGATCCGAAAGACCAAGTTGCGGACCATCTACACGCTCGACTGGAATCCGTGGCGGATTTGTTCTTATGATACGAAGTTGGTTCGTTGGTCTTGTTCCCCCTTGGATTCGTCCTTGGCGGATTTGTTACATTTGTTCTTGGCGGATTTGTCCTTGGATCATGTTGCGTTCGTTGGTCTTGCAGTTCTTTGCAACCGGAGCGAGCTCAGGTGCGAGACGCCTTGTGGGAGGGAGCCTGAGTCGCTGTCGAGTCACTGAGAGGGGCGAGGGGGGACGGTCCAAAAGCCGGGATGATCATCTTGTTGAAGTTGCGGCAAGATGGTGCGCAATGTGCCAAGCTCTTACATGATTTCGGGATGGACGTCTTGGGAAATGTGAGAGCTTTGCAAGGGGCATTGTTGAACGGATCCGTGCGCACACAACTTGATCTGTCCGAGGACTTCTCTTGTGAATGAGAATTCCGTGTTAGGTAGGGACTTGGACAATCTGGGATGCTTTATGTTACAAGCATGGGGTTTGACGGTTTGAGCATCGTGGGCTCTTGCCAGACGCGGCTTGCGGCACGTTTCACTGGCTCCAAGGCAGCCGTGGGTGATGGCAGCGACGGCCAGCGTAGGCTGCAAGCACTTAGGGAGGGGGCGCCGGACGCTCAAATGGGCTCGTCAACAGCTCGCTACGTTAAATGAGTAGTAACCGTGACTATAGACTATATGGCTGTGGGTCAAAGTCCAAATCGTACTCCCAGTGAACATCACAATCTCCACTAATATAGACTAGAATGGGTGGTGCGCCTACCCCAAAATGCACCATTGGTTTTGACGCACAGCCATATGGGATTAATTGGGGGTTGATCAAAAGGTCCTTTGCATGGGGTGACCATTAGGGAAGCAACCCAAATCGATAACTTCCACGACATGGGAAAGTTACCCATGGTCATTTTGGGACCTTGTCGAGAATATTGATCAACCCCCCATGGGTGTGTGTGTGTGTGTCTCTTGGAAGGGTACCCCTGGTCCTTGAGATTGATTGAAATTCATCCCGGCAACTCAGCTTAGCTGTTTCCTGCTCCCTTACCACTTTGGCTCCCTTACCATTTTTTCCTGGTGTGTGTGTGTGTGTTTCTTTCTGGGGAAATCCGTTCAAAAGATCACAGCGCGAGTTCGCCCACTGAGGCCGCCCCCTCCGCTGCGGCCTTCCTCGTGCCTGCATGGATCTATGCTTAGAGGCTTAGGGGTGAGCGGACGGTTGGATTGCAACGAGGAAAGGGGTGGCTTTAAAGGGGTGGCTTTTTACAAGGATTTTGGTTGGTTGCTTTTTACAAGGATTTTGGTGGTACCCCGATTTTTTGGTTGGATTTTACCAGGAACCGAAAGGAATCCCAGATTGCGCCAGTTCAATGGGCGTCAACCAACAAAACACAAACATAGCTCTTAGCAGTGCCAAACACCACGGCGTTGTGCTTCTCCTCGTGCTTCCGGAAGCCCTATGGCTGGCTCGAATCTCTTTTTTGGTCGGGCTACTCGTTTTGGTGGATTTTTCTTTCGGGAAATCAATAGGAAAGATACCATTTTGGTCGGTCCACAGGAAATCCGCCGAATTGTGGGTCCAAATCCTGAAAAAACCGAGGCGCTGTGTCGCTCCACTTGCTCCACTTGCTGCGGGATAGCCGCGAGGCCTGAGTTTAGTGGCCCTCTTTAGGCAAAAAGGAGGCGGATAGCTGGGAGGCCGTGTTTGCTCAGTTGTTCAGTGGCACCTTTTTTTCTTTTTGTGGCTGCCCCACTAAAAATGGCCTTCCCCGAAAGAGTTCCTTTTTTTCCAGGGTCACTGAACAACTGAGTCTGCTTGTTTCGAGGAATTGGGATGAATTGGGAAAGCAAATGATGTCAACAAGAAGCAAGTCGCAGGTTTGGCCTGGTTGCACGTGAAAATGGGTTAAAATAAAAGGCTCAACAGTTTTGCACAGTCTGAAGTTGGCAGTCCCCCACAAGCCCAGGCCCAGTCGCTTTAAACGGAGACGGGGGCCTGGTTTCAGTGAAGGCACGTTTGCGGGAGATGCAGAGCGGAGTGGAGCTGATGACGGTGCTCATGGAGACCAGCTTTCTGAAGGCGCGGGTTTACATGTCCAGCTTGTTGCCCATGCGGCTAGATTAATTTTGAATTTGATACGGTGACGGCACCGTATTATTTAATCTGAAGTTATATATATATATATATGTGTTTGACTCTAATTCTTTTTATTTGAAATTTCAACTGAAGGCTAAACATTATTTTGAAATTATGTGTTTTTTTTTGCGACTGCTTGTTGCCCATGTGCGAAACATCCGCGTCGAATTGGCATGGCCCGCATTGGATTGGAGTGGGGGCAAAGCCTCCCTTGGAGGGTGGTGTGGGATCTCCCTGGGTCTTGTAAAGGGAAGCGTTCTGCGGAAAAGTGGTTACTTGGGCGGGGGGGGTGGTCTGAGGTTTGTTGATTCCCCAACAAGTCATACTGGGGGGGGGGGGTGTCAGATGTTATATCAATTGTTTACTTCCATTTGCTTAAGTATATGTCTTATGTTCCCCTGCTGGTTTTAAAAGTAAACTATCACTACTTCCAGGCGGGGAAGAAGCAAATGGAAGTATATGAGTACTGCCCCGCACTTCTGCCCCGGTCCCAGTGCGGTTCCTGACCGGAGTTGGGTACTCGTAGCCACTTCTTTCACTGTTCGGTACGCGCTCGCAAGGCTTCCATCAGGGCGGGGAATGCTACAAGTTCTGATGTTGTGTAATTGTGATTATTATCATTGTTCATGTGAGCCACGGACAAAACACGCGTAGACCACTTTATCAAGACGGGGCACGCTTTTGAGTAACACATCCCAAAACCATGGAAAACGATGAGGTCTCCCCCAAAAACGATGACCCTTAACGAACACACGGCTCTGTAAATACGACACTTGTACTGAGAAGTTGCGATTTTCGAGCTGGAGATGCGGAAGTGTACTTCGCGTACTAGACTTGTACTACAAAGCTGCGAATTTCGAGCTGGAGCTGCGGAAGTGTACTTCGCGTACTAGACTTGTGCTAGAAAGTTGCGATTTTGGAGCCGGATCTGCCAAAGTTCGAAAACACTGTAAAACGATGAGGTCTCCCCCAAAAACGATGACGTTAAAAAAAGTACTAAGGCCAAGTAAAGGGTTTCGTCCGCTCCTCATGTGATTGTGATTATAATTATTATTAGTAGTAGTGTTCGTCGTAGTAGTAGTAGTGTTCGTCGTCGTCGTCGTCGTCGTCGTCGTCGTCGTAGTAGTAGTAGTAGTAGTAGTAGTGATGGTAGTAGTAGTAGTAGTGATGGTAGTAGTAGTAGTAGTAGTAGTAGTAGTAGTAGTAGTAGTAGTAGTAGTAGTAGTAGTAGTAGTAGTAGTAGTAGTAGTAGTAGTAGTAGTAGTAGTAGTAGTAGTAGTAGTAGTAGTAGTAGTAGTAGTAGTAGTAGTAGTAGTAGTAGTAGTAGTAGTAGTAGTAGTAGTAGTAGTAGTAGTAGTAGTAGTAGTAGTAGTACGCTCTGATCATTATATACACACTATTTGGACTATATGACTATATGTTACATGCGCTGCCCAACCGGCTATCTTAGGGTGAGTTGCACTTAGAACCATTCAGGCTTTAAATAGCAAAGAAGCGGTGATGAGGCATTCTTTTGTCCACACGAGGTCAGGTATCACTGCCATCAGCCAAGGCATGCGCGAGAGCCATGTCTTGGCCTGAACGAAAAAGTTTTGTTCGAGCAGATCACTGCTCCGAGGACAAGCATGCCGCACAAGGGATAATGTGAGCGCAGGTGGGTGCACAGCGCTGGCCAATCTTTGGCCTCCTGCATTTGGCGCAGGCGAGAGGGCCTCCTGACTGTGGGTGGGAGCACAGCTTAAGGGCGCTCCACATCTTGATGCTGGGTGCACAACGAATCAACAAGTCTTTGCATGTCTTTGCGCATTGGATTTCCGGGGTGGCCAAGGTCAGTGAGGGCTGATGCAGAATGCGTATTTGGTGTCTGTATTGCAACACACCTGTTATGTGTGCTTTGCAAGACCACTTGATAGTATTGCCTCGTGTTTGTGTTAACTGTTCAGGCAAATATGAAGTTGGGTCCCGGAGGTTTCTGTCCTTGTACCCTTGGAGTCACCAGACATTGCGTCGCCTCTTTGGCAGGTTCAGCTGGAGCTTGAGGAAGGGCCGGATCAGGAGGCGGGATGGATTCGTGTACGATCCAAGAAGCCACTTGAGGGAACATATGGCCGTGAGTCAACACCAATGGTACCATTTTGGGGTAGGTGCACCACCCATTTTAGAACCTATGTTAGTGGGGATTGGGATGTTCACTGGGGGTACGATTTGGGTTTTGTCCCATAGCCATATCCAGGAACAAAAATGCCGAACCAGTTTTATTTTTGGTGGGACATTTGGCCAGCTGCAGGTTGTTTCTGAGGTATGCAATTCAGCTTGAGGAAAATGCACGCAACACTCAAGCCGACAAGTAGGTAAGGCGCCTGAGCGGCCAATACTTTCTGACTGGCTCAAAGTGGCTGTGGGTCAAAACCAATGGTACCATTTTGGGGTAGGTGCACCACTCATTTTAGTCTCTTTTAGTGGGGATTGGGATGTTCACTGGCGCGGGATTTTGACCCATGGCCAAGTGTCATATATTTTTCAGGGTATACCAAGCTGTCGCAAGGAAAGTCCCATGGGCCCTTCTTGGCCCATCACCTGTCCAGCCTTCGGCCATCCGATCTTACTTCTCCCTACGGTTTTTGCGGGGAATCGATCATTGGAAATATGTGTCTTCTCTGCAGGAGGATCAAGCAAATGGGAGTGATTCTTTGCAGGGAGATTATTGTGAGAGGTGTCTTGCTGAAGGGGGTGCAATCCCTTGGGGCCCTGCCGAGCTAATCAAAAGCCTTCGTTCTAAGCAACCGCGGCGAGAAATGTACAAGTTCTGGCTCTGTGATTTTGAAGATTCGGCATGTTAGTACCTGCCATGATCGGAGCTTGGCAGGCTCATTGGGAATGGCAGCGTTGGCAATTCAAGATTGATTTCACTGGCTCATTCTGGGTGGCAACAAGTGGACACATCATCAGCCGCCAGCCCTGGGTTGCGGAACGTTCATGTCTAGAATCTGATTTTGCCCTGGGGTTCCGGCTGCGGCTCTTGGTGTTGCAGGCTTAAGCATGAAGCCTGAGCTTCCCTTTGGTTAAGAATATGTTTTATTTCCCCTTGTTGGTTTTAAAGGGAATCTAGTGTTGCCCAGGGACTTAAGCAAATGGAGGTGAGGATATCATGACAGCACGTAGGGTTTGCTGAACAAGAGTGCACTGATCCATCAGAGGGGGAAAGCTGAAGATTCATGTGCTGGCAATGAAGCGCTGAGGCTCAAGCGAACCTTTGGTGCTTGATTATCTTCTCGCAATCCTTCCGATATGCCGCGCATGCCTTGGTATGATCAAGAGGCAAGCACTGGACACAACAGACAGTTGAAGGTGGAGGACATGTTCAAAGAGTTGTGGTGGCTGAACTACTGCTACTGCTGCGGCCAAGGCTGCGGACGCAGTGACAAGCCGATACTGGCGCATGAAAGCTGGACAGCCTGCATTCAATGCAGACAGGAGCTGGTGACGGACTTGGACATCATGTTCTGCGGCCACCAAACAGCATGCATTTGCTTTCGATCCATTTGCATGGTTCCCCCTCGGATGATGCCCCCATGCGTCCTGTGCAATAAAAAACCGTGCGGAGGTGAGGTGAAGCTGCCAGATTCCGAACAGAATCATTTGGGGCATGGGGACACCTGCTGGCCCTGTTGGTGTTTCTGCATGGGCCTAAATTGTTACAGAACACCCTGCGGCTCGCTGGGTGATGAGTACATGCATGTAATAAGGTGTGACACCTACCAGCTTTGCCTCCATGGATTCTGCCGGTTTCGGGATCATGGTGAAGGCTTCCACAACTGCTTCAGTGTGAACACCTGCTGTTGCTTCTGGATCCACTTCGACTGTCCCCGCCCGCAGACGGCCCCCAAGTGTGTTTGCTGCAACATGGGCAATCCCAACCGCAAAGTTGAGCCTGGCTCTTGAGAGCGCGCCATTGAAGCGGCCATTGCCCGCGACAGCTCTCCGCGCCAGCGCATGGCGCCACGTCTCTCCAGACCCACAGTTGAGTCCAACCTGGGTGATTCCACAAGTTTCACCAGAGCCAACGTTCACGAGTTTCACCGCACGCAAAAAAGCGTGCGTCGCCAAGAGTCGCTGACATGGCCTTCTGGGCGGCAAACAATTCCGGGGTTTGTGGAGCTGAAGTTGGACGCAGCGCAGGAGATGGTCAGCCTGATATCGCAACATCGGGGGGTGGCGTCCTCACCCTGTTTTTGTTTGTTCAACATGTTTTACATATATAACATCCCGCTTGTGTCGCGAGAGCGCGCTCTCTGGTTTTGCCCTGTCGGGTTCCTAAAGCCTTCACTCACAGCTCCCTCTGCGTGTCTACTCCCCGAAACCACTGGCACAGGGACAGGATCATCCTGAGCTTCGTTCCAGCCTCAGTGGCAGGTGTTGAGTGAGTCTAGGTTCCCCAGTAGTGCCCTTTTACCCTTTTTTGGGGGAGGGTTCCGCTGCTAAAATATGCTAAAAATATGCTAAAATATGCTAAAATATGCTAAAATAGACTACAGGAGAAAGTTGGTACCCTTATTCTAACCTCTCTACTGGAGTAACCTCTGTACTGGAGGACCTAGGAGTTGACTGCGAGAGGCCATAGAGATTAGCCGAGTTCCAATGATCGACCTCGGTTTAGTCATTCCCCTATTTCATGGGGGCTGGGGAGGGAGGGGAGGGGGAGGGACCCAAAAGGCCCTAAATACGGCCTTTTTTTCGGGTTTAACAAGGCTCATTTCGGCTCCCTCCCTCCTTTTCTCCCTTCCCCCCAGCCCCCATGACTTCTTCCCAGAGAAAGGGCAAAGGAGTGCAATCGACACTTTGTTCGAAGAGGCCAGAGAGGGACAAGTAAATTGAGCCATGTTGGCCGCAGCGCTGCGAAGAGGGCTTGGCTGGTGAACAAAACTATCGGGCCAGGCCAAAAACCAGGCAAGGGGGGGTTGAAAAAACGAAGGGTCCTCGTCAAACTACCGTGGATCCCCGGTTCACATCCACCGGCCCTCTTCGAAAGTGGCTGCTGAGGTGCGCGATAGAAAATGGACAACTTGATCCACGGGTGCCGAAATGATGGAGACACCTACCCACAGCTGAACTGTATCGTCCACTTGCTTAAGTTGTTTTTTCTCCGGTTGGAAATTTGATCTAGGGGAATGGGGCTTACGCAAATGGAAGTGATTCTTTGCAGGGAGTGCAGTGTGAGAGGTGTCCACCACCCCACCCCACCCCACCCCACCCCGCCCCGCCCCACCCCACCCACCCACCCACCCAACCCCCCTCCACTGCAGCGAAGCTTCCCTCGTTGCCTCGTTCGCTCGGAGCTGAGGGCGCTGGCAGCCCCTGGTCAGCGATGACCACATGCGTTTCAGGAATTGGGCCCGAGGCCCCGGCGATGTCCTAGCCCAGGTGCCACTCGTGGGTGTGGTTCGGTGTTTTTCTTTTTGTTGGGGGGGACCCGTTGGTTTAAAGGTAAACCGGAACCCGTGGGTTTAAAGGCAAGCCAAAAGCAAGACCATCATGTTGGGGGATCCCCTAAGAAAAGAGACCCAGACAAACCGAAATCCCATTGACTTTGACGCAATGATCTTGAGGCTGTGCCGTTTGGGGATTGTCCGAAAGCGGAGAGTCCTTGCGACGAGGTCCACGGGCATCTTGTTCATGGTCAGACGCCGCCTTTGGTGGTCGGGGGCCTTGGCAAAAGGCAAGTGGCATCGGTGTCCTTTTTGGTGTGGTCAAACAATTGAGGGCCCAGGGTGGTACAATCATCTACCATGGCCCTGGATTTTTCCCAAGGACACTTATGGCGAGTGAGGTTCAACACGTGAGCGGCTGCAGTCGGCCGAAGTCCCTGCCAGTTTTGCGCAAGGCGACTTGAGGTCAACCCCCCGATTGCTCATATAATTTATTGTTTCGTGGGACGCGCCTGCAGGGTTGAATCCGGGTTCCCAATATTTGGCAAAATAGCAAGCCTCCATGCAGAAATACATTGAGAAATCAAAACACGACTAGACCCCCCGAACGGCTGTCCACTGGCCGCCAAGCCCGAAGCTGCTCACGACTGGATCGGATCTTTAGACTTTAACTTTGGGGAAATCACGGTGTTTTCCACTAGACCCCCAAAATGCTAAACTAAAAAAGCGCAGTCGTTCAGCGCACGAAAAGCGCACCAAAAGAAATCACGGGGTCCATTCAGCGCACCAAAAGTTTTGCGGGGACCGCCTCGAGGACTCCCTGCACTTCTTAGCGCGCGCTGATCCTCGGGAGCCCAGCGTGAGCAGAAGCTGCTCCGCTGCAAAGGCGACCGCTCGCTTGGGAGCTTCGCCCCAGAGTCCCAGGGTAGGTGTGGATGGACAACATCCCCTTCGCATCACTTTGAAACCATGGTTGAAACGTTGGTATTTACAGGGGAGAATCATCTTTTTAGGGTTTCTTAGGCGGTGCAGGATTTCGTCCACCCACAGTAGGTGTCCTTTTTAGGTTGGTTTGGTTATTTTGCTTCAAGATAGATTGATTCCACTGGTTTAGACGGGTTTGATCCACTTGCCAATGCCATCGAGTTTTCCAAAAGGCCGCCTATGTCCAGGATGCATCAACCTCTGGTTGACGGGGCTGTGTCCCAGTGCAAAACACGCCAATGATGCAGGTTGATCAATCCGGGTCGAAATTACCTAGCAACATGACTAAACAGTACGATTGGCAATTGTGAGTCAACCCCCCAAAAAACTGTTGTATTGCTTCGTATTGCAGAGAGAGAGGGAGAAAGAAAGAAATTTGGTGGTCTAAGCGTTCCTGTAGTCCTGTGTTGCTTTTGTTGTTTGAGGACTTGGTCTCGAAGAGATTATACTGGCAGTCAGGGGATTTGCAGGTGCTGGATCCCTGGGTCCCAGGTGCGACTTTTGGGCTATGGAGCAGTGACCCGAAAGGGGCAATGTTTCTCCTTGGCATGGCAACCAGGTCCCCCAGTAGTGCCCTTTGACCCTTTTTTGGGGAGGGTTCCCCTACTAAAATAGACTACAGAAAAAGGGTTCCCTTATTCTAACCTCTCCACTGGAGGACCTAGTATCATGTTTGTTGTCGTCAGAGTTGGCACTCACACAGCACATCCGGCCGTGAAAACCTGTCGACGGCCGTCCTTCTATGCAAGAGGCATCAGGAGTCAACCATGCCCGTATGGAAAGCCAACTTGAGTCAACCCTTAACTACGAGCAAGCCTCAAAATGCCCCAAATGACCCCAAGCGCCAAACCAAACAAAGACAGCTTACGCCATTTAACGCTAGATTTCGGGGCTTCTATAAATTCCATCCGTATAGATACCGTATAGAACTGTCTTGTGGTTTTCAGATTTCCACATTTGAATTGCTTCCCAAGGTGGGTACTCGACAGACTTTGCCTGCTAAGGGCCCTTCGTCCGTGCTGGAAGGTTTGCCAAGAATTGTGTTCCTTGCTCGCTAATTGAACAACTGTCCACGGAGCTTCGCGAAACCATGACACCCTTGATGATAGGTTCACTCATTCAACGCCTTGCTTTGTTGTTTTGCATCCCTCTACAATCATTCCAGAGACCGTGCACGCGTTGTACAAGGAAACAGGAGGAGGAATACGGGAGTGTGCGTGGGTGTTGGTGTGTGTGTGCGTGCGTGTTTCTAGGGGAACCACGTAACAACTGTGTGATTGTCCTTTTGCCTTGCCTTTAGCACCAAAAAAGGGCGCCTCAACGAACAACAGCCACCTGGTGCCTTTTGTTTGGCCTTTTGCTTGGAAATTTTGTGGCCGAGAGGCCATGGGCTATTTGGCCTCCGCGCTGGTTCTGGCACAAGAGCCAGATCAGAGCATCCGCCAGGAGGCGGCCATCTTCGGGGCCCGGGGAGCGACGGGAGCCCTGTTGTCATGTGGGAAATGAGGCGTTTAACAGCATAAGTGTGGATCAACGTAAACTTAAGCAGTTCAAAGTATGGGTTTTGTTTGTTGTTTTCCCATCTTTCGCAAATTGAAGGGGCCGTTCAAGGTTTTGTGTTGTTGCTGAGTTCTTTGTGTATTTAGTCTTTATGCGGCTTTCCGGAGTTGTGGCCTTTGCGGGTTTTTTCGCCCTTCGGCCTTCGGGTTGCTTCAGCGGTGTTTAGAATCTCTCAACCGTGCGGTGAGGCGGAACAGCTGGTGTCCTCGGCTCCTCGGCATGGGATCCCTGCGGGTACAAGATCCATTTCGCACTGAAGCCGTTTGAGTCTTTCACCTGTGCAATTGTATATCCTTCATTAAGCATTTCTCACCTTTTTATATTAGTGTGTTCGGTTGTAAGTTTCTGTAAGCCCTTTCCACTAAACAAGTTTGACATCTTATCTAGAAGGAGAAACAAGGGGAGTGTTTGAATTGTTGTTGGTACTTTGGGGCTTGGAATGCAGAACCCGGGTGTCCCCTTACCACACCCCCAAGTGCTTTAGGGGTGGCTTGAACGACAAATTCTGAGGCCCCAAATTGGATCAGGACCCTTCGCAGGGTTACACGTGTGAATCCCCTTCTGATGGCTACAAAATTCATTTCGCATCACGAAATGAAACCACGGCTGAAACCATTGGTATTTATAGGGGGATTGAATCATTTCGGGGTTTCTTAGGTGGCAGGACACATTCCAGCATTTGGGTCCCAGCTGCTTTTTGCTTGCCGTACCAAGGGAATTTTGGACATGGTTGGAAAAGCGGTTGCAAGTTGGGGGTGCTGGTTATTCCCCTATGCTATTGACAAACAAATTGTTTTGAACCCAATTCACATTGTAGGACTTGAAGGTTTGATGGAGCATCCGGCTGAGGCCGAGGGTCACATCAAGCACTGCAACTCGGAGCCGCAAGGCTTTGAGCTGCTGAGCATTCTGCGCACTGAGCTGCCCGGCCGAAGCTCTCCGGTTTGGTTGAGAGCGGATGAATTTCACTTCCAGGGTTCAGATCAGGTGCGCCCTTCTTCTTTCTTGTGGTTTTGCCAAAAGGACACCTAGGTGTGCATGTGCGACCCCACAGTCCCATGGAACGAGAAACACGGAAAAAGATTCGGCCTGAGGTGGCCGATCTGGTGGCTCCTGCATGCCGTTTTCCTCCATTTGTTTCCAGAGCGCGCCGAAGCCTCAGCTGGCACTGGTTCCAAAGGAGAGATGGTTGGGATATGTTGGGATCCACGAGGCTCCACAGCACGAGTACTGCGAAACCCAGTTGCCCAAGTGGCGCCAAGTTGTTTTGCTGTTTGGGGAAGGGTTCCCCGACTCAAGCCACCAAAACAGGATGTGTTTTTCCCATGGCCACTGGGCATCTGAGGAAAAATGATGGCGACGCGACAGAAAACACAGTCCGTGAAATTAGTGTTGTAGCCGAACGAAGCGATGACGATTCGGGCTCCAAAAGCTATGTTTCCTACAGTATTGTTGCCGTTTAGCAAAATTTGTGCGAAAGTGTTGTCATTGTATTTACTTGAAGGGGGTGATTTCGGGGGTCAGGGATCTTTTCAATGCATTATGGCACTGCATGTGGCAGCACCTCAGGCACACGGATGGTGGGGCTTTTCTCAAGAGACGAAGATTGTTACTTTTGGGGAAATGGAGAGGTGATCAACTCCACTGTGCACCGCTGGTGTACCGCCCTTTTTCGAGCACCCTGCCGCATCAGGAGCGTATTTCTGCAAAATAGTGCCCTAAAGCAGTTGGTTTCCTTTCGGCCTCCCTTTGGCTACCAAAAGGGTCCATTTGAAAACCGCCCCGAGAGGTTCACAGTTGTCCTTCCCGGTGCGGCCCAGGCCAGCGCCGCTCCCAGTCCCTTGCCACCCTCCGAAGCTTTGCTGGATCCCCGGACGGGTTTGAGTCTGCGCCGGGCGGATCGGGGCATTGGAACCAAGAGCTGCGGATGTCCAGCGATTCTGTTCAACATGACCAGGACATGAGGTAAAATGACAGCAAGACATGATCTTGCAATGCGTTGAACTCCATGGTTAAGGGGTCATTTCTATTGGTAAGCCGGCAAGGTCCAAAATCACAGGAGAGCGATGGTTAGACCAAGAGATGCGCCGCTTGTGAGCTTGGGCAGGGTCCCACGTGGCTATGATGTTTACAGAACCCATCCACAAATGGTGGGTAGGCAATCCAATTCATGTCCACCTTCAGTTAAAAGCAAATCGCTATGTGGCCATGGTTCAAAACCAATGGTACCATTTTGGGGTAGGTGCACCACCCATTCTAGTCTCTTGTAGTGGGGATTGGGATGTTCACTGGGGGTACGATTTGGGTTTTGACCCATGGCCATGTGCCTAAGGAAAAATGTTTTTTCAACACGGCCAAAACACGACCAAACTCCCATGCCGTCAGTTGAGCCAAAATCCTCAAAACCTGGGCAGATGAAGCTTAGGAACACTCCCCTTGCCATAAATCGGGGCCGCCTTCTGAATTCTTGAAGCATGGTTCTGGGTCGACCATTTTAATGCCGGGCTTTCATTTTGACTCCACTAGGCTCCCAGCCATCCGGTTCCTTAGCTTTTTTGAGCCTTTTAGTGCGTTTAGTGGTTGGATGTTCATTTCACACTAAACACGGAAATCCCAAACTCGAGAATGGAAAATGGAAGATGGAAAAGTCTTCCATTTAACACTAAGTGTAAGTTAGTCACTTTTAGCGGGGGATCAGAAATCGGGCAGCCCATGACTCGCAGCATCTTTCGGCAGGTCAGCTCCTGCTTTGCCCACTCAACCGGCCCCAGGCGCACTGCGTGTGAATAGGGTACATGTTCAAGTTGGAAGGTCCGAATGTTCAGGGTTTTGACAGGGCTCCTTAAAAGATCTCCATTTTGCAACCATTTGAAACATGTTGTTTTTTCAACACCAAAATAAAGGGAAACCACCATTTACAAGGCAATGTTCAGGTGTATAATGTAAAGATCCCTGTTTTGATTGTGGCTCAACTGACGTGGGTAGATGCCCGGTAGGTTTCAGCTACCCAGGGTAGATGAAGGTTGTTCACTTGAGCCACCGCCAAGCCATGTTGCAATGTTGCTCTTTCTGCGGCAGAGTGCCATCCAATCGCAACGCTCGTTCCGGACGTTGGGCATCACGCTCACCGTGTTGCTCAGAAATTGCTTGACCTGCAATTGCGCGATCTGTCAGAGAGCCGCTTGGAATTCATGCCACCGAAGCCCCTTGTTTTCGAATGTGTTGCTTCTTGATCCTGAGATTGCATCTAGGGAAATCCATCGGAAATCGCCAACAAATGGCACATGTCCAAGCCATACACTATGTAAGGAAGACTTACATGGCCCAAACAGATGGGTTCTCAAAGACCTGCACAAACAAAGCCAACTCGTAGATGCCCAGCAGTATTTGCAGTGTGTGTTTTGTTGTTGTTGTTTTTTTGGGGGGGACCATTTGCTGGGGCTCTGAACCAAAGCCCCGCAAGAGGCGTGCATTCTGTTCTGCCATATGGCATCTCCAAGAAATGGTGAATGCTAATGTCATGCTTTGACGGCAGAATCACATAGTGTCTCATAAACCATTGAGCTGAATACGCGATTCCCCACACCAGTCAGATGCAGACCGTATCAATTTCTTTGGGGTATGTGCCAGGACAGCGTGCTGCTGGTCCCGAGTGCAGAGCTCATGGCGTTGGTTGTTCGGGGGATTTCTTGTGGCTTTCTTTTGCATTAAGCAAACTGCTTTTGGGAGGGACACTTTGGGACCCGGGACCGGCAGCTGACTTGATCTGAGAGTGTCAGCGGCTGTTTGGCGAGGTGCTGGGCGCTGCAAGGTTTGCAGCTTTGCAGCATTCCAAAGGCAGGTTCATTCGGAGAGAGAGGGAGTCCAATTCTCGAGTCAACCACCAAATGTCGAGGAAGTGTGCCAACCCGTAGGCAATATGTTCACTCAGATGTGTACGCCGAGTGAATCCCACAAACGGCAGCAGGCAGTCAGAAGAGTTGCAGGCCTGATCGCAGGCATGGACTTTGAATTGCATGTGCCAATCCTGGCAGCGCACGCGGAAGGCAGCCTTCCTCCCAATGAACGGCATGTACTTGCTCGACTCGCGCTTTGGAGGCTCCATGTGTGGCTTCCGTTTGAGCAAATCCAGGGTGGTGGGATCCCTTAAGATTCCTCCTGCACGTTTTGCAATGCAGTCCACTCACTGGCAGAAATGGATTCATTCCGTTCGGCTGACAGGCTTGCAGACCTTTCTGCCGCACTCCCAGCCTAAGCCAAGCATGCAGTCGGGGTTTGTCAAAATATGGGGGTTCACTTGTTCTGCAGCCTGTGCAGCCTGTGCCGCCTACAGGGCATTCCAACAACTGCATACAGTCAAAGGGCACTGGGCCATCGGTTTCTAAATGAAGGGCAAACTTCTTTATGGGATTCTTAAGGGAGGGGTGTAAGGGAGGGGGTAATTGGAACCCCCTAAATAAGTACAAGCTTCCCTAGCAATTCCTAGAGCTCCTTAGCCAACCCTAGCACTCCCTCCCTAAAAGATTCTTAAGCTCCCTTAAGCTCTCGCGATTCCGCTTTGATTGTGGCTAGGTTGGGTTGGGACAAACGATGGCTTTACCCCCTCAGCTGCAAGCGCTGCTGGCCAACCCACAATTCAGCGGGAGTGCAGTTTGAAAGGGGAGGGCAAGGGAAGCTTGGGGAAACTCTGAAAATTAATTGGGAGGCTTGGGAAGGCTTAGGGCGTGCTTGAAGAAGCTTAGGGAGCCTTGGGGAAGGGGAGCCTTAGGGAAGCTTAGGGAAGGGAAGCTTGGGGAGCCTTCGGGAAGCCTGGGGAAGCCTCGAGAATAGGAATCGGACAAATCAGCTTAAGTTGGGTTGCATAAAAAACGAGCAAAGGACGGCGTGCTTTGCGAAGAGACTAGTGGATTCAGGATTTGAACCCTGGGTTTTCTGGGGCTCCCTAGTCCACCCCCATTTATGCCCCTCTCTTACATCCCCCCCCGTAAGAACCTCATAACTTCTGTGTGTTCGCCCTGAGTTGCAGTTGTTTGAACATGATAATGCCGCTGTTCTTCAAATGTCCTCATTGTTGTTTCCCTTTAAGAGTGTCCACGGGTTGGGTGTCTAGAGCAACATTGCCCTAAAGAAATAAATAGAAATAGAAATAGAAATGACATAGACATAGAAATAGACATAGACACAGACATAGACATAGAAATAGAAATAGACATAGAAATAGATAAAGAGGGAGGGAGGGAGGGAGGGAGGGAGGGAGGGAGGGAGGGAGGGAGGGCAGGGAGGTGGCAGGGGGAGCGATGGGTCTGCACTCCTAGGCAGCTCTTCCGCGACGGAGTGCCGCTGCGACGCAGCGCCATGGCGGAAGCCGCCTGCGAGGCGCGGACCCCTCAAAGAAAGAGAGGGCCGTGTCCCCAGCACTGTGTTTTTCATATAGACAAACTCGTTTTCATTTATTAAACGACAGAAAGCACAAGCAAAAAACTATCTCAAAAGAACGAAAACAAGCATTGCCGGGAAGATCTTTTCTCCAAACAGATTCTTTGGAGGCGATAGCTTCATTCATGGCCTGGCAAACGTGTGTCTCGTCTGATCTGGTCTCATGTTCGCACGTGCAATCGAAAGAATCAACAAGTCCACACACATACTTCTGCAGCTTTTCGCAATTCCCTTTGTACCAGCTCTCACTGATTCTCTGAATACTCCCCTAGACTTTCCTTAGAAATTCCCAAGTATTCTCCCAGGATTCACCCTTAGTATTCCCCTAGCATTCACCCTTAGTAGTAGTACCCTAGTATTCCTTTAGTACTCGTTGGTATACCCTGTAGTATTCCCTCAGTGTTCCGCTTATTATCTTGTTGTACCCTCTGGAGTTCCCTTGGCGTTCCCCTAGTGTTTTCCCAGTATTCACCCTTAGTGCTTCCCTAGTATTCCCTTGATTTCCCCCTACTATCTCTCTAGTATTTCTTCATTCCATCAGTATTCTCTTACCCCTACTATTCTCTCAGTACTTCCTTAATATTTCCAGCATTCCCCTAATATTGCCCTAGTATTTCTTGACGTTCTATTGCCCCAGTATTCTCCCAGTATTCTCCCAGTGTTCCCCCAGTATTCTCCTAGCATCTTTGCATTCCCCTTAGTATTCCCCTATTACCCCCTCGGTGTTTCCTTAGTATTCCATTAGAAACCCCTTACTATTCCCTGCGCATTCCCTTATTCTTTCCCTACTATTCCTCCAGGCATTGCATCATGCCATGATGTTCAATGAGCCAATGGGCCCTCGCTGCTTCCCGATACGAGGCTCGCAAGGATGTTTGCTGGTCACGCGGCTTTGTATGGCGTATATAGCTCGGCTGATGTAAACAGAAGAAACTGAGATCCCAGCCTGAACCACAATCTGCTTGAAGGCAAATGGAGGGGCTGGGCTGGCCAGCGCTAGGACGTGACACTGCGCGGTCCCAATGCGCAGGATCCACGTAGTCTCGAGGGCGCGGCTGGCGCGGTCGCCAAACCGGAGCAGCCATGTCGGCTTGCGCTGTGGCCAAAGTCGTGGAGCCACAATGCCGAACTCTCCCGGCCAGGGCGGTATGCTTGAGGCGCTGCGCGGTGCGTTGCGCTGGCATGTCGCAGCTGCCGGTGCCAGCAGGTAACAGCCCCCGAAGGCTTTTCCTTTTCCCGTGCGATTCCCCTAGTGTTTGCTGAGTATTGCCCGTGTCCCCCTAGTTAGTGTTCCTTGAGACACAGGAATGCAAAAAAAGTCGAGAACAAAAATCCCAGAACAAAACCTTGGAGTTACTGCTCATTTTCCCCAGCCGGTTGGTGTTTTTTGTTTTCTCGATGTCTGTTTTTCCCCGAGTATTGCCCTAATATTTCCCTACTACTCCTTGAGACGCGGAGAGAAGTGCCAAAAACTCAAGAAAAGCCGAAGATCACAAAGTCAACGCCCTCGGGAAATGTCCAAGTACCAAGCGCACAGCATTTTACCGAGGGCTTTGCTTTTTTTTGTTTGTCTTTCTTGCTTTCTCAATGCCTTGGGCCAATGGACAGCAAGAAGGTTCTCTGTGCATCTGACAGAAGTCAAAGGAATGAACTGCCAGGAATGCAATGCTGGGGTCAAACACCGTTGCAAAAGGGACCTCCAGGAAAACCAACAAAATTGAACAAACACATGAATTTTGACGTCGGGGACAGCCTGGTTTCGCAGAACGCAGTGTGTGAGCCTAGATCAGCTCACCCAGGAATTTGTAGGGCAGGTGGTATTCCTAACCGTTCGTGAAGGCAGCTGGGCACTCTTGTGATTGCTGACCGAATGGTTTTTGCTGTTCTGTTTTTGTTATGATGCACCGGCCATTGGAGTATCGGAATGCGGCCCTGTTTGTTGATTTCACTGAAGCCGAGGGATTTCCCGGCGAGGAAGGATAGTTCCAGGCTTCAGCGTTCCTACGCGTGTGTTTGGTCAGATGGCCGCGCAAAGACTTGAATTCGGACAAGGCTCATTGGCTTTCTTTGCTTTGCAGAAACCATAACTTTTTGTTGCAACAAAGTCTGAGTGCAGCCGAACCACGGTGTGACATACAAGTTCTTGAGAGCCCGCTGGCAAACCAATCACATGTTGCATCTCATGACGGCTTTGGCATCTACTGCTTGTTCAATCGGCGATTGGTGGCCTAAGCCTCTTCATGAGGACTTGAGGAGGATGTTCAGGCAAGGTGTTGCAAGCTGCTTCAGACTTGTTTGTTTGTTTGTTTGTTTGTGTGTTGCGTGTTGTTTTTTTTTGTTTGCTTGCTTGCTTGCTTGCTTGCCTGCTTGCCTGCTTGCCTGCTTGCCTGCTTGCCTGCTTGCTTGCTTGCTTCTGTTTCAGACACTGCGCCAGGCGGCTGAGGGTCCGAGCTGGAGTGGGCTCCGACTCTGGGGCTCGCCGCTAGTGGCGGTGAAGGAGAAAAATCAAAGTACTGCTTCGTATCCTCAGACCCCTCGGATTTCTGCACCCAACCCCATGGCCACGTACCGTGTTGGGGCCACACAGGCTCATACTCCAAAGTCTGAGATGGGCTTGTCGTTTCGATGTTCGGCGGAGCCCAAAGCCGGAGGTGCCTGAAACATGAGCCCGAAACTGGAGGTGCCTGAAGCACGCCCCATGAAGTGCGTCCTCCGACAACGCGCCCTAAATGGAGACCATTGGGGACCAAGGATGCATCCGAACAAGAGTAGGTGTCTCCGTGTACTGGGTGAGTTGACATGTGCTGAGACACAGTGAATCGCTGGCAATTTCTGGATCAGCCCATGCATAGGAACTCTGATGGCTGTAAGGGTTCCTATGGATCCCCCGTTGAGTTGTGACCTTTGCATTTTGCATTTTCAGAATGCTTCCACTGGAGGACCGCGAGCTGCCCAGCGTGGACTACTCTGTGCGGCCCACAACTTGCTGCTCACTCCCCCTGTAGCAAGTGCCTGCAAGAGTAGAGACCTGAAGCTTCCGAGCTACAACTGCTTGGATTCAACGGAGAGGCACACTTGTTTGATCTTCTGGTTTCCAGCCATCCCCTTAGAATTCAACCCACTCAAAGTTAATGCCTTTTTGCAGGGCATCAGAACATGGACAGGTTTGTGGCAGTGTCCATTTAACCCACTATAGGTTAATCTTTTTTAGCAGATCAGAAAACGGACAGCAACCAGCTATCCATTTCCGTCCTTCCGGTTCGGTTTGCGAGACTCGCCCGAGGCATCCTTCAGCCCACCCGGGGTGGGGCTCTATGTGGAGGCGAGATGTTTGCAACTCGAGACCATCGGCCTATGGTGTGCTTGTTTTTTTTTGTTCCCCCTGCAAAATAGCTGGCGACTCCTGGTTGAGCTGGTTTCGTCATCAATCCGTCTATGTTCAACCAACAAGACACCTATATGCTAGGGACCGCCAAAGGAACACGGGCCAGTTCTGCCTTCCAAGAGCCACAAACGATTGAGAGCGAGTCCATGAACCTTGGCAGCAAGTTGTGCATGACGGTTTCAAGGTGAAGGTCCTGGGTCAATGCATTTAGCTTGAAGCCATAGATATGGGGGCGTCTCAAAAATTGGGAACGGACCCCTGGAAAGGCTGGTTTCTTTTGGGTTCCCTTAAAAGCCAAGCAAACAGGGGGGTCCCCAAAAAAGGACCCAACTATTGAAAGCAGAGGCAAAGGACCACTCTCGGCAGAAAGCTGGTTCTTTTCTATGCCGCAGGCCTCATCAGCGGGCGACCCCTACAATGCCTGAGCCTCGGGTGAGCGATGTGGAAACTCCGAAAACCGATATCCAATTTTGCTTCATGAGCTCAAATTCAGAAATTTCCTGAGAAGCGCAAAAACTGACAGGGGCCTCCGCAATTTTGCTGTTGCATGTTCGGCGAGTAAGTCATACCGTCCATCCCTCAGAATATACGCCTTTATGTAATTATGTTTATATGCATATTGTACTAGTTCTAGAAAACGGTTTGGGTGTTGCTTTTGTGGATGCAGAATCCACTCCTGCTGGATATTAAAAGAGCACTAAAAGAAATACGAAAAAAGAAGAAGACAAAAACGAGGAAAACAAACAAATGACTCGATGAAATATACATACATGCATGTATTTTATATATATATATATACACACATACATTTCTATATACGTTTGTGCATCTTTTGCAATTGCCCTTGTCAAGACTGAAAGACATGCTAATCCGGGTTGCTCACCACTGTGAGATTTCCGTTCGCGGCGCCCGACGGCAAAGTGTCAGGCAGAGTGGCTGCAAGCCTATGTCACAGCCTTTGACCGGTGGTTCTGGCTGACTTGCCCGCGCCGTGCTTGCGACAGACACTTGGGCAACTGGCAATATGTTCTCCTGGTTTGAGGCCATAGGGTCAACCTGAAGGTCTTTACAGAAATAAGTTTGCCTTTGCCCTCTTGGAGGAGCCAAGTAATTTTGTCTGGGGTTCACTTGTGGTGATACAGAAGCCTATGTCTGGATCGGGAAGCCATCCCCACGTGAATCGAAAGGGGCGTCCTTTATTTTCGACTAAAGATCCGATCGGGGCTTGGTATAGAACCCCAAGGTCCCCGTACCACAGTTGCTTTAGGGGTGTCAAAAGGACATATGTTGAGTTGCCCCCCATGTTTCATCACAACCCTTAGGGCAACTGCCATGTTTGCGAATGTCAGCCCTGTGAGAAGAGTGATATCGGAAGTCATGGCGAATGGCTTCGGAGCAAAGTTTACAGTTGCTGTACATGCGGATGACAAGTCACCACGATATGCCGTCCCAGCAATCACGGATTGAATGTCCAGCTGAGTTTGCTTTACTTCAAAAGCGGCCCTTCGCCCGGGAGCTCCATGTCTGCGTTGGGAGGGTTCAAGCTTCAAATTCGAGAAACGGCGCACCGCACTGGACTTCACCTTATCCACATGTGAGCCACAACCAAAACCCGGGTAGATGAAGGTTAGTAGGGACAATCCCAACCATAAATAGCTGCGGCCGCCTTTTTAATTTTTTTACATGGTTCTGGGTAGACAATTTTAACACTGGGCTTTGATTATGACTCGCCTTATCCAGATGTCAGGATGGGATTGCAGCCTCACATCATCTCCAAGATCGAGGAGCGCAGCAGCCCAACCTGACCACGTTCGCTTGAATGTTGCTGCCGAGAAGCAGCAAAGCAACCCTCAATGACTCAGGACAAAACATTGGAAATTGGACCAAACAGATTGAACATCGCCAGTTGCTTCCCCTCTCGAGGAGGCTCAATCTGGCACCCTCTACTTCTGGCGCATCAACCAGATGTTTGGAGGCGCCGCTTCGAGATCGCCCGCACATTCTCCGCGCGAATGCTGACATGGTGTTGCCCCACCGCACAGGACAAGCCTAGCGCGATTGAGTCTTGAAAAGCTCTTTGCTGAGCATGTCATTCTGAAAGGCAAGCGGCAAAAAAACAGAGGCTTGCCTAAATCGTTATAATGCTGGCATTTGTTTGTTTCAAACAGGGGGTTGCCCTTTGGCTTCTCTTTCACACATTCCGAAATGGCCACTTTGGCTTCTGCCGTATCCATGTTGCATCGTTGACGCTTAAAAAAGAGAAAGAGAGAGCGAGCGACAAACGTCACATTTGGTTACGAATATGTGTTATTTGCCAATGGAGGTGTCTATGTTTGACAGGAATGGGAGTTGTTGTTCCACTTTCCGCCAAAGCCAACGTTTTTCGCATGTTGTTCGGGGCAACTGCATATGCTGCTCACATGTCAATTTCAGAAGTGATGAAGGCTCCAGGCTGCAACTCCTTCATCAACCATGGATAACCCTCCCACTGCCTACATGATGTAGGCGAAATAAAGCTGGGCCTTGACTTGAGACTAAGAGTTTCTCACATCCAACCCCGCCAGGTGGGTTTCCGTGCTGAACGCGTGTGCGTTAAGCACGCCCACACCAGAACTCCAACGTGTAAAGAGTCTATGGCAAGATTTCGCCGCGAAATCAGAGATTTCCTCCCGCTCTGAGGCAACGCTGGCGAGAAAACAAGTTGCGACTTTGGGCACAAATGCATGCGCAGCTTGAGAACTCGATGAGCGAAAACAACCACAGCTCCATGGAAGAATGTTGGGTAGCGGTACTGGCGGCGGCTTCCTCTTTTTGTGAAATAAGAGGGTTTTGGTTGATGACCATCCCTACCCCAACCCCAAAACAAAGCCACCTGGATGAATCCGAATCAAAAGAATGCAAATGCTGCGAAAACAGTTCTTTTGTGTACAGGAGTGAGTTGTTTAATCACGGCGTAGTGATGTGGGCATATGCTGGGCAAGCACAGCTTCACCAGCCCTGGATTGAAAGAGAAGCCAGAAGGAGTCACAGACCGTTTTAGGGCTTGACGCTTAGTTTAGATATGTTTGCTTTATCTTGTTTTTTTTTGAACAAAAGAGAAGAGATACAAGCCCGATTCCATCCATCTCAACCAGGGCCAACACCCCCAAGCGACTGATGTTTGTCCATCTTCACTAAGGAACCCTTGTTTCTTTGGATTCGTTGGACACTTGGAAATTTTGGGCAGGTCTCAACCTGGGCAAGCAACTGATTTGTGTCCATCCCCCTTTCTGGGCATGGGTCAAAATTAAGCCACCAGGAATTGGACCGCAGGTTTTAGTCCATGTTCCTAGGGCAAGCCATGTTGGGTACATATGTTTGACCCACAGCCATGTGGGCCCTGGTACGAATCGCTTGAAGGCGAGAATTGGATGCGGTTCCTGGTACTTGAAATTTTGGGCGGGCAAGCAAGCAACGGGATTTTTCGCCATCCCTTTTCTAAGGAACCCCATCTCATTCTTCGGACCTCCCTCGTCGGATTTCTTTTTTCCGCAGGCGGGCGGCTGGCGGGCGCCCCTGGAGTGGGCCTGGCGGTGGCGGAGCACCTGGCCGCCAGAGCCCAAGATGTGGTTTGGGGGGGCCGATTTTTGAGGTTCCCTTTTACTTGTACCGTTTCTTTTTCGGTTGGGAGGGTTCCCCTACATAGACTACAGAAAGAAGTTGGTACCCTAAACCCCAACCTCTCAATTCTGGAGGACCTAGGCTTCATTGGTAGTTTGGATATGTTTGGATTGGACAAGTGGGAAACCACCCCATATTAGTCAACCAACATGTTCACTAATACGGGGGGGTGCTTCTCTATGGGTTTAGTGGTTGGAATCAGACCATTTGTGGAGGGGAACACCCCCCGATTGATACACCGGGGTTGACAATATGGGGTCAGCATTACCTCAAATCAGGTCATGGATTGGACAAACAAAAGCCACCCCGAAACTACCAATCCAAACCACCAAACAAACAGGGAAGCTGATAAAAAATGGGTGTCCCATTGTAGGATTTTGACTGCCCAGCATGGCAGAACGGTTTCCTTTCAGCTATCCTCAGGAAATTCGCGGAGATCTTCCTGCCCGCAGGGATTCGATTCAGTTTCTCATTTGTTTGCACCCTGTCGCTTTGAATTTGGCAAGATTTGCAGCTTTGGTTTCTTCAAATGTGCCAAAGGTCCTGAAATTTGTGTTTGGCCAAGCTCCTGTAGAATTTCTGGGTGAATTATAACCACCTCACACGACCGAATTCACCCCAAAGGGTGGTTTATGTGGGGAATATCCCTCCAACCACCATATTTCAGGCTGGTTGTTTTCTAATTCACCCAGATAGAATTTCCTGCAACTCGGCTTCTGGAGACATGGGTCTGTCTTTTGTTCAGGAATCGGATCGGGACCCCAAAACGGCTTCGGTGTCCTTTTGGTTTCCCTTTAAATCCAGCAAAAAGTTGTCGGGTAGCTCCAAAAGAAGAGACCCAAATTGCCAAAAACATCTTAACAGGAAACCACCAGCCACAAGTCATCAATGCAAATGAATCCCCACATTTCTGATGTCCAAAGAATCCCAACAAATGAAGACAGACCCACAGAGGTGTGCACCCAGATCTGAGCCTTGCTGTCCCAAGAGCTCCGTCAGGACTTTGGGAAGATGGGCGCCGCTGCCTGGCCACGACCGGAGACCATGCAGCGGGGCACCTGAGAGTCCTAAGACCTGTCGGGCGGGTGGAGTTTTTTTTTGGGGGGCGGCCACCGGACTCGGTTTTTTGGTGGCAAACGCTAAATTCGTGTGGTTGCTCCATTCTTTCGCGGCCAAGCCGCTCAGGAAGTGAGTCATGGATGGCTTTGGATTTGGGGTTGAACCAACCCCAAATGAAAGCCATCTATGATCTATGAACAACGGCACCCTTGTGATGGGTTCTGTTTAAGGGACGGCCGCCATTTTGGGGATTACACCCATTCACAAACAAACATGGATTGAAGTTTTAGGCTTTTCTATTGAGCCATGAAACAGAGCACTTGGACGGCCACTTCCCATAGATGATTTCCGGGTTGCTGCCATGTTCGAAGCTTCTGACGACGAGCGGTAGCCCTAGTGAGGGGCATGGCCATGGCATAGCATTTCCTGCACTGTAGTTATCTACCCAATATCGTCGAGTCCTTCTCCAAGATTCAGGCTTGCCGCAGCTGCGACCGTTTGTTATTCAGTGGAGGGCTGGAATTTGACTCCCTGAAACTCGCTCAGTATGCATGACAATGGTTGTCACCTGCCTGGAGGTTTTACCAGGACAAGCTCGCCTTGCGCGAGCTTTTCACCAGGTGCGCGGTGGGCCGTCTCGGGGTCCGTTGCATCCTAAGGCACCACGTGAAATTGAACAGTGCGGGTGTTGGCCACTTGCTGTGTATCCGTATTGCACAAGCGCTGTTCAATCGTGCACAATGCCCCAGTGAGAGGACAGTCGCTTTGATGGCTAGTCATTTCGGCACATTCCCTAGCCGCAAACATGGAGAGGTGCTTTGACTGCTAGTCCCAACCCGCAAACATGGGTTAGTGTACAGACCCTCTTCAAGGAAAGCCGTCGACCATACGGAACTGTGGCTTTCCATGGGCCGTTGGGAGTCGCTCAGGGCTGGCGTGCCAGCTCCAAAGAGCTGGGTGGTGGCCAGCGCACACGATCTGGAAGAGCTGCTGCCCCGCACTCAGATTTCAGAATCAGCACGCGCGCCCGCGCGCGCCGAGCTGTATCCGTTGACCCTGGATCTCACTTGGGTTCCGTTTCGGAGATTCGTCACTTGTTGGGTTTGGACCATTTTTGTGGCAAATGAACAAATATCCAGGACCTGTTTAGGCCAATCCACGTCAGGAAGTAAGGGAATGAGGACAGGATTTGCTGATCACAGCCATCTTTGTCAGCGGACTCCCCCGGCCATGAAATTTGCAACTTTGGGACTGGGGCAAAGCGAAGCAGGATGCGACGTGGCGAAATGTGTCGTTCCCAACAAAGCGGCTTGTTCAATGCACGTGGATCTATGGAATATGCATATGCCTGCATCTTTGCCGCTTTTCGTGTCCAGCCGTCGATTTCAGATTTCAGCTGCTCTTGATAGCAAGATCCGTGGCCGATGCATGCAAGATGTCGCCCCAAGACTGTCATGACACCTCCGGGAGGTGACCTTTTCTTTCCAGAGGGGTTCCCTGTAAACTCAACCAGACAGAGTCAGCCTTTTCGTCATACCCTGGCCCGTCACACGCCACAGGCGCAGGGGCGAGCTGATGGCTGCTGACTTTCCGCTGGTCATGGCCTCGGGCCAAACATCTCGCTGGCTGGAGACCCGAGACGTAGTTTCCCCATTCTTTGACTCTTAAATAATGGACGCTCAGTTCTTTTTTTGGGGGTTTTACCTTTTAAAAAAGAACAAGAAACAACACATTAAAGAAGAAGAACATGGTTGATTTTTGAAGCGGGGTGCCTCAATTTAGAGGCGAACACCCAAGTCATATTCTGTCAGGTGCTGAAGCATCCCTTCGCTGCTTCCAGCCGTGGAATGTTGCCCCTCCCTCAGAGCGAGATGTTGCACGGATTCCTTGGGACCAAGTCTGAGTGTGTCTTTTCGTTGATGGTATTTTGTAGGTGCTTGAAAAGGAAGCCGCCTGCAGACTTACCCAGTTTGGAGACAGTTGGAGTTCCTTGCTTGAAAAGGAAGCCGCGTGCAAACCCAGTTTGGGGTTCCACCATTTGCAGACAGACCAGAGACCCAGCGCATCTCCTGGCCAAGACCAGCCCTCGATGAAAAGCTCAGGTCCTGCGGATCCCTGGCAGAAGTCAGAAGTGTCGTGGGTAGCTGGCTGCAGGAGCACAGAGTGTCCGGAGCTCGGAGACTTGGAGCAAAGAACGCCAGGGGTAAGTTCAGCAGACGTGACACACTCGTTGGATGCTCGAGAAAATGGAGGTGTGCAGTATGAAGGGGAAAAAAAGAAGTGCTCATTCTTCTGTGGATGTCCAAACAAGGCTCTAGGTTTAGTGTTTGATTTGAGCAGGGGCCGGCGTCGTTCTAGCCGCGGCTGCAAGGCCATGCTTGCTTCAGAAGCGCTTGCCGATTGCCAGAGACATGAGGATAACCTACGTTGCTGCCTCAGTCGTGTTCTCGCGTTGTTCAGCTGCAAAAGTGAGTGGTTCAGTGCAGCAGTTTGCCTTTGATGTGCTGCGAGGAATTTCTGCGTTCTGCCTTTTCTTTGAGGGACTGGGGGGGGTAGTTGCTGCTTCTCTGAACAGTTGTTGGCGGTGATAGACGTGGAACGGGAATCTGTTTTGGTCGCTTGTCGACTGTTGACGCCCGCACTCAGGTGGGAGGCGAAATTATCCAGGGCTATTGGCGTGTGAAGGCTGGGGCGAGCTGTTGACGGCACGCGTAGCTGTGGCTTCGTCATGCGTGGCCCACTTGTCTTACACTAGACTTGGCGGTTCCCAGCCGTCCGGTTCCTTAGGTAGTTAGGTTTTTAGTTTTTTGGGTTTCGTGGGTGGGTTTCCATAGTTAAACTTTCAGAAGGGGATCTGAGGCTAGTCTGGAGAGTGAAGGCA